TTTCTTTCTTTCTCTCTTTTTTTCTCTTTCTTTCTTTCTTTCTTTCTTTCTTTCTTTCTCTCTTTCTTTCTCTCTTTCTTTCTCTCTTTCTTTCTTTCTTTCTTTCTTTCTTTCTTTCTTTCTTTCTCTCTCTCTCTCTCTCTCTCTCTTTCTTTCTTTCTTTCTTTCTTTCTCTCTTTCTCTCTTTCTCTCTTTCTCTCTTTCTCTCTTTCTACCAGAGAGGGACAGAGTAAGAGAGAAAGTGAGAAAGCAAGCTACTAGGTACAGGACGTGAACAGTGGTCAACCATGTGGGAGTCCAGGGCTCATAACTGCCATATCACCTGCCAGCCCCTATCACTGTTGTTTTTCTAATTAATATCAAATAATTTGGCATGGGCTCATTCAGCCCCTGTTAGAATTCTAGAAAATATGCCCCATCCCCTACAACATGGCCTGTTCTTTCCCCTCCTCCTCACATGTCAGTCTCATCGTCCACTGGAGCATGTTAGATTTGGCAGGTCATAGGCCACTTTAGTCTTAGCTCCTGGCCAAAGGCCTGGCCACAAGCCCTGGGGGATCACTTCTCCTGGTGTCTATCTTGTCCTTTCATTCTTCAGCCACAGTACCGTGATGGCCAGAGGAGACTGCCTTCTGAGTTCTTCTGGAGAAATGTTCCCCTGAGTAAGCCTGAAGAATTTCTCAGAGAGAAAGAAGTGAGTAAGAAGCTGTGGTTGGCACCAGGGACATACCTCATCATACCCTGCACGTCTGAGGCCCACCAGGAATCGGAGTTCATCCTCAGAGTCTTCTCTAGGAAGCACATCTTTCAGTAAGGACAGAAAACTTTTTCCAGAGGTTGAGGTCCACTCAGACCAAGGGAGGCCAAGTGGGTGAGGTTGGAAATGGTGGAGAAGAGAACAGGAGAGCAGGGAACTGTAGCAGCTCTCTGAGTGAAAGGCATCCTCCCTTTTTTTTTCCCCACTCTCCTGATACTGACAGACACCATGCTAGACATCAGAGGTAAAAGGCAAAGAAGACATGGCCTTTATCTTACAGAAGTTCAGAATCTAGAAAAGACAAAGGTGCATGATAGTTACTGATATTGCAATATGTCCAGTGTAAGCTTTTATAGACACAGGGTATGAGGAGAACCTCAGAGAGCAGCAGCTGAGCAACCACCATGGTCCTGGGGGATGGAAGGATGGCTTTGAGGAATTGGTAACACTGAAGAGATTATGCATCTCTAGGGAGATAAGGTTGTTTAGAGGAAATGAAGTGTCATTAACTAGCAGGCCCCGGAGCCAGTTGTGTATGTAGCTAAATCAGTATGCATGCATCTCAACAAAACTTATTTTGCCCAGATTGTTTTGACATGATAATGCTAGGTATTTCTGTGAATTTGTTGTTTTTTAGTGTCTTGGCCATAGGCATTTTGACTTGATCTCAGTCTTCACTGCCATGTCAGAACACCGAGTCTTAAAATATGAGTTGAGTGGCCAGCAGGTGGCATGGAGGTTAAGGCAGCTGGATTCTACATGGTCAACTGGTCATTTTGAGTCCAGACCTGGTGATTTGAAAATCACACTGGGTACATGTACATGTACACCTGAAATCTTGAGAGAAGAATGAAGGAGAAGGGGTTGTAGGGTGGCCATCCTCAGGGGGTGATTTCTCATGTTCCCTCTCTTATTCTGTTTCTCTCTGGTGAGTCCATGCACCATATAGCAAACTTAAATTTCTGAGTTTGACTAGTTAGATGAGGTCGTGGAGAAGTGTGAACAGTATGCCATGTCACATGCTGGACTTCTCCCTTCAAGGGGAGGTTGGGGGGTGAGGCGTGTGAGCTGAACAGACCTGCATGGTGCCTTAGCTAAGGAACTTAGAAGATGAGATCCCAGGTTTTGGAGAATGTTGGTCACAAGGTTTCTGACAATAATCACTGAAAGAAAACTCTGTCTTTTTTTTTCCTCTCTCTCTCAGTGAAATTGGCAGTCATTCCGGTGTTGTCTTCTCTAAGGTAGGTAGTCAGACAGACTTCCCCAAGGTTGGGGCTGTTTTCAGAGTCAGGACGGTAGGTTCTCCCATTAGGTTGGGGATTCAGGGGAGAAGACAGGACAGAACCTTGCAGATCCTGTTATGACAAACATTCGGTGGTGCCCTAAAAGTGCCTAGGTGCTGCCGTTTTTGTGCCAAGAAAGAGCAGAGAACTGCCCGCCTGGTCAGGTCCTTGTCACTGAGGGCCCAGAGTCCCAGGTACATGAGTTATGCCTTTACTTTTGCTCTTTACTTGGCATTTCTTTTGCTCATTTCACTATATGTTAAATCCTCAAAATGAGAGAGAATTGGAGAAACAAGGGATTGTTTGGAAATGCTGTGGTGAAAAATTTAAGACAACATAATAAGGTCAAACTCATAGATTTCTAGAAGCCATGAGACATTAGTG